GAAACTCAACAGACCCTGGAACCCTGCCCTACCCCAGAACCCCTCCTCCCATCTCTTACTTTAGAAAGCATATTTTCATCACTGGGTTGACCCCAGAAAGGTCTTCTCCTCCTTAAGGAAACAAAACCACCTCCCTGATGTCTCACTGGGGCCTTAAGTCAGATTTCTAAGACAGCCCAGAACAGGTGTTCTCCTTTGGCCAGGAACGCTTTTCAGGGGTCCTTCTCTCTTCTCCCTCCCCTAGGGGTCAGAACCAGAGGCAAGAGCACAGGAGAGACCCCAGCCCTGTCCTCACTGGTAGCACTTCTGAGCTGGCCAGGAACGCTTTTCAGGGGTCCTTCTCTCTTCTCCCTCCCCTAGGGGTCAGAACCAGAGGCAAGAGCACAGGAGAGACCCCAGCCCTGTCCTCACTGGTAGCACTTCTGAGCTGTCACATAAATGTGTCCCACTTGTCTCAAGAGCTTGGGAAAGCATGACTGTCCTGACAAAGGGGACAGATATTCCCACACAAATACATTGGCTCTTGGCATTAGGCAGTAATGACTTCAGCATGTAGGCAAAATCTCCAGAGATTCTATTTAGTGAGTCTTGGGTGGGGATCCCACCATTGCCAGCACCCCAGGTGACCACACTGTGCTATGTGAAACTCTGACTTTACCCTTAGTCCTCTGGAACCTCTGCCCCACCTTCCTTCCTCTGCCTCCCAGCAGATTGGCAGCTGGATGATCTTACACATCAGGAAGGCAGAACACCTGGTGCAGCGCTGGCCACATTGGTGCCTGCTGTGGTTGGATTTATTACATGCCCATATCACATGCTATTGTGCTCTGGGAAGGGGAGTTTAAACAGATGTGCTCAGGGGCTTGGAGGGATTTGTGTGGCAGGAGAAAACTTCACCTCCCCTAGCAAGGATACATGTCTTCCTAGAAGGATCCTGCCATTCTCAGAGCCAGTTCCATCCTCAGTGGGTCACATGTAGGAGGCCCCAAGCCCACATGCACTATGAACAGCACATGGATCCAGCATTCATGACCAGGGAAGAGCTGCTACAGGCACTGCCCAAGAGCATAGAGCATGCAGGTCAAGGCTAAGGTTCCTGCCTAGTCAGGTCACCCAGGTTCAGGCAGAGGAGAGGGACAATGGTAGGAGAAAGTACAGATCCACTACTAAGTAGGTTACAAGGCACCCTCTCTGGACAAGTGAAGTTCACATCAGGGAACATGGGTTGGTGGGTGGCAGTACGGGTAGTTTTTGTCCCTCTGCCAGATGTCCTTCTATAGTGAACCACTGGAACAACTGTTACAAGCCTGCTTAGAATAGCAGAAGGAGGAGACAAAAAGACTACCATGGTCCTTCAAGACCAACCATAACTGTTCCCACTGGGCCCTCACAGAAGTCCCCTCCAGAAGGGTCCCCACATTGCTGCTATAGTCATCCCCAATCTAGGCATCCTCTGCCTAGATTGTCTACTCACTTCCCATCCTTCCTTCAGGGCCTTCTTACTCAGGTTCCCCTCTGCCAAGAAGCCACCCCTGACCACTCCTTTCTCCTTGGGAGATGACAGTGTTCTTCAGATATACTCCCTTAATAGGCCCTCAACACCTCTCTGGGGCCAGTGGTTGGTCACTTTTCTATAGCTATGTCTTCCTTTCTTCAAGACTATAGGCCTGCTGGAGCTCCTCAGAGCACCTGACATAGGGCAGTGTACAGTTAGCACTCAGAATATATTTGCTGATTGATTGTGATGGCAGAACATGGAGTGGGGGCTGTAAGGACTCCTAAGTCTGGCCATAGTTGGAACACCAGTGATCCCTGGGATGACCTGGGAAAAATCTCCCTATTGTCCACTTCAGTTTACCATATATGAGGTATAGCGGCTGGATGTAAAATCTCCATGAGTTCTACTGAATCCTTATAGGAATCAGAACCCAGAGCCACCATCAGTCAGTCTCCCAATATCCTATCACCCCAGTGTCAGCACAGTGCCCGTCCATCTACCTGGTCTCTGATTGCCTCAAAAATAAAACAAGCATAAGTCTCTATGCTTTGCCAATTGAGCATTTAACTTGGTGTTTTCTTTGCCAAACCACAGACACTAAACCCGGCCAACTCAAGCAGAAAAGCCCCATTAGGAAAAGGCCTGTCATGGGAGTTCTCCTGTGATCAGGGTAGAGGCTCACACAAAAGGCTGAGGGGAGAACCAGAAGGACAGCTGATGGAAGGCCCTGGGAAGAGTCTAGTTAGAAAATCCACTGATTCCTGGACACCTCTTTCACCACTGGTCACTGGCTCTTCCAAGTTGCTGCCATGACAGAAGTGAACTCTAATTGTCACCAGTTTAGAGCCTAAATTCCATGTGGGAAATCTGATGAGCTGCACTTAAAAGCACGTGACCACACCCTAATTGCCCAGAATGGTGGTATGGGTCTTGTGCATTCAAATTCCTCAATAAGAGGGCTCTTCAGAAGATAGGCAGCCAAAAAACTGATAAAAGTCTATGAATAACCCTGGCCAAACCAATTATCTCCTCTAGAAATTTGGAAAGGGACTGATAGATTGAATAAGGGTATCCCCCAAAGTTGTGTCCACCAAAACTTCAGGATGCAATTTTATTTGGAGTAAGGATCTTTGCAGATGTAAGAAGGATCTGAAGTCATCCTGTATTAGAGACTAAGTCTCCTTAAGAGACAGGGGAAGATATGGAGACACAGAGGAAAAAGCCATGTGAAGACAGGAGGCAGACATTGTAGCAATGAAGTGATGATCCAAGTACTGATAGGAACTGCTAGAAGCCAGGAAAGAAACATGGAAAGATGTTCTCTCAGAGCCTACCAAAAAGGCAACCCTACTGACACCTTAATTTTGGACTTCTGGTCTCCTGAACTGTGAGAGAATAAACTATTATTTCAAGCCATCCATTTTGTGGTATTTTGTTATGGCAGCCCAAAGAAACAAATGCAGGACCCAGAAGAGTCATAAGGTCAGGCTGGTGGGAGCGCACTGAGGGCATGAGGAAGCTGACAGCAGGGTGGGGGGGGGGGGAGGGGGTGGGAAGACCAGAGGTGTGTGGGGGAGTGGGACTCCTAGGCTCCTGAGATGCCCCAGTTTCTGTCCAACAATTACCTTTTCTTACATAAGATTTACAGTGACTCCATGACTTCTAACAAATCTTGAGCCCATATGTACAGTGTCCTAGCTTTCTGCCAAGGTGTGTGTGTGAGGGGTACATGTAGAGTGCTGCTGAGGGAAGAGGAGGTTTCTGCAGAGTCCCCTGAGCAAGAGCAATGGCTAGCCAGTCATTGTACCTCTCCACAAAGGAACCAGTGCCCAGGGCAGAGTCCTCTCTGAGGGCAGCAGACCACAGCTCCAGGCCTGAGACTACCACTCATACCATGAGGGAGGAGGCTGGAACTTTGCTGAAGGGTGTTTGTTTTGTTTTTGATACCTCCATCCCATAGTACCCAATCATTCCTCAATGACTATTTCCTCCTAAGTGCAAAGTTGAGAGGGGGGCAGATCTGCACCTCTATTGCTTTCTGGTGACCAGAGAAAAATAACTTCTGACCTGCAGAATGAAGATTTTCGGCTGGAATAGATGGGTTTAAACTCTAAGGGCAGAAGGGGTTGGGGGAGACTGGTTCCACTATGTGATTTTCACCCTCCCTGGACCAGCTCTATCTGAGGCTAGGGAAGCCGGGTCCCAGTGATGGCTGGTTCTGGGTTGGACCCAAGAGGCTGCAAGCAATGCTCCAGGATGTGCAGCACAAGGAACTCTCCCCGGAGGGAGCAAGGTCTGGCGATGATTGAGAGAAGGGGATTCTCACACTTCTGTTACTTTATGAGTCTTCAGGCTATGGCGGTAGTAGGAAGAAGGGAACGCTGACAGAGACTCAACCCAGCCTTGGACATCACCAAAAGATCTCCTGATCTTTTGGCCCTCTTCTCTCCCTTCCACTTCCTAAGTGAAGGTCAACAGATTCTCTCTCTGTTTCTTCACCAATCTTGACGGAGAGTGTGCCTACCCCTACCCTGTGTCTGATGGTTCTCACCCTGACACTATTTGGACACGATTTCACACGAGTTCCGAGCGCACTGCATATCACAACCACTTATCCCGCGCTGTTACAAAAGCGCCTTGCCAAGGCACTCACGAACATCTAAGATCATCTACCACAGTCGATGCATCTTATAAATGAGGCTCAGAGAAGTAAATTCACTTGCCCCAATTCATGGGGCCACTCAGCTGCTGGAGAGAGATGCAAACCCAGACTCCCAGGCGGCTCCAGGTTTCTGAAACTCGCCGCGCAACTCACACTTTCATGCCCGTGCCCCGCCTCCCCATCCCACCCCGGAGAGGAGAGCCCGAGCTGTCCCTGGAGGAGCGTGCCTCGGCCGCTAATCGCCCGCCGCCCCCGCCCCGCCCCTGCCGGGGTTTCACTGCCAGGAGACGCCTGGGCCTGCTTAGCCCGAGCGGGGCTCCGGCGCGGGAGACGCCACCGATTGGCCGGCGGTAATTACGGGCACGCTCCGGGAGGGGCGGGAGAGGGGAGTGGCGGGGGGGGTGGCCTCCCGCGAGCATAAATTATGCAAATACCCGGCGCCGCACGGGGCTGACCTGCCGCCTCGCTCCATTCACCCGGGCTGCCTCGGGGGCGGAGGTGGCAAGGGAGGGGGCGCGCCCATTGTTGGGCCGGGTACTTAAGGGGTCCTGAGGCCGGTCGTGTGCCAGACTCGGTGCTCACACGAGCTGATCTGATCGCCGGCGACATCACTCTGGAGACCAGCTGGGCGCGTAGCCCCAGCAGGCGAGGCAAGGAAGCAAAGCCAAGTTCCCCTTGCCTCCCTGCGCCCTTTCAGTCCTCACACCCGCAAGAGGGCACAGAGTAACCCGGGCTGTCCGGAACGTAAGTGCGCCCCGGCGGCCCTGCCTGAATTCAGCCTAGGCTCCTGTCCTCTAAAACCTCCTTCTCTCCGTTCTGTCGATCCTGCACAGCGCAAAGATGCCAGCTCCTCTGGAGACCTGCCTCTCCGACCTTGACTGCGCTAGCAGCAGCAGCAGCAACAGCAGCAGCGACCTGTCCAGCTTCCTCACCGATGAGGAGGACTGTGCCAGGCTCCAACCTCCAGCCTCCGCCTCGGGGCCGTGCGCGCCGGCCCGCAGGGTCGCTCCGGGGGCTACTGGGACATCCGAGGTTCCAGGGGTGCAGGACGAGGAGCAGGAGCGGCGCCGCCGTCGGGGCCGGGCTCGAGTGCGCCCCGAGGCGCTGCTACACTCTTTACGCAGGAGCCGGCGCGTCAAAGCCAACGACCGCGAGCGCAACCGCATGCACAACTTGAACGCTGCGCTGGACGCACTGCGAAGTGTGCTGCCCTCCTTCCCGGATGACACTAAGCTCACCAAGATCGAGACGCTGCGCTTCGCCTACAATTACATCTGGGCTCTTGCTGAGACACTGCGCCTGGCGGATCAAGGGCTGCCCGGGGGCGGTGCCCGGGAGCGCCTCCTGCCTCACCAGTGCGCCCCCTGCCTGCCCGGGCCCCCGAGTCCCGCCAGCGATGCTGAATCCTGGGGCTCCGGTGCCGCCGCCTCCCCCTGTGCCGCCGCTGCCTCACCACTCTCTGACCCCAGTAGCCCCGCTGCCTCCGAAGACTTCACCTATGGCCCCGGCGACCCCCTTTTCTCTTTCCCCGGCCTGCCCAAAGACCTGCTTCACACAACATCCCGTTTCATCCCTTACCACTAGGCCCTCTGTAAACGCCTTTACCTTCCCCTTTCCCCAGTCAATGGGCAATAGATGCGCGACCCAGTTGAGGCCTCAGGACCCCCACCCCAGGTGGAGGGAGGAAACGAGGGCTTTAAAAGGGAAGCGGGATACCTGAGCCTCTTGTTAGGTCGCTGCACCCTCGCCACGGCTGCCCCCCGGTCTGTTTCTGCAGCCCCCAGCCCTAGGCCCCTCCTGCCCGCCCCCCCCCCACGGCCTTTCCTTTTGCACTTTCTGAACTCCACAAAACCTCCTTTGTGGCTGGCTCAGAACTGACCCCAGCCACCACTTCAGTGTGATTTGGAAAAGGGACAGATGAGCCCCTGAAGACGAGGTGAAAAGTCAATTTTACAATTTGTAGAACTCTAATGAAGAAAAACGAGCATGAAAATTCGGTTTGAGCCGGCTGACAATACAATGAAAGGGCTTAAAAAGGAGACACAAGGAGCGGGCTTCATGCATTATGGATCCCGACCCCCACCACTGCGGGCTCTCTCTAGGAAGAACCCCAGCGTTTGCGTAGCTATTCAGGCAAGGGCTGGAGGGTACTTTAATTTATTCAGGATGCTTCATTCATATGAAAATGTATTTTTGTACATAAAGAATTTATTCTATTATTACGACCTATCAAAGTTTACACTTTTGTACTGCAGATGCTTCATGTAAATAAAAACTAAGTAAAAAAAAAAGTCACCAAGTTTCTTGCATAGTGTTAGTGTCTCTGGGGTTTTTCTTCTTTTTCCCTGGTCGCTCAACCACTAAAGTGAAACACTATCCCCACCCACCTCCAAACCCACTAAATCCTATCTCAAAAACAATTTTTAAAAGTGCACCTGATTCCACGAAGAAGCAGATACAGAGTAGGGCCTTTGGGATCCACCGTTTTCCTTTCACCTTGTAAGCACAAGGGAGATCTTTCAGGCACCCCATAAGCCAATTAAGACTTTTTAGTGGGGAATTACCCCTGGGTAGGCAGCTACCTGTAGAGGTAGGGGCCAGGGAGAGTCTTTCTTTTGAAGAACTCCACACTTCAGCTGGCTCTGTGTTTCAAAGAGAGGGGATTAAAAAGATCAATACAGTGTGACCACTGGTAAGGAAGTCCCAGTGACAGGTGGGCCTAGGCTGGGTAAGCAGAAGGGTCACTCTTGGAACAGGCTATTTAGAAGGGGAAATTGATTTGTAAACAATGCCTTCAAATTACTGTCTTTTGAGGCTGAGGTCACCCTAGCTGTGAGATGTAGGATGAATTATACTGGTATGGTGTCCCTCCATGGGGTGTACAGCTGTCTTAAATTGTGAGCTAAGGTGCCCTGCACCTCTCCTCCCCCCACATTCACACCCAGTGTAGCCCAAAGAGTGGGGGAGGGGCACCCGCACAGGGGAACTGGAGTCCTAGGCTTGCTCAGCCAGTCTTCCTGGGGGCCATAGCCAAAGCTAAGCTTTCATTTGTTGCCAGAGAAAACTCAGTGGGGACTTTTCTGGCTGCAGTGTGTCTGTCTGTTGTCTGACAATTAGCTAACAACATTGGCCAGTAGCAACTTTTGTTTTAAATTTCAGGAAGGGGATAATTACAAGAGGTAGCTCCTAAAATGTCCATGTTGCCCCAGCTCACAAGTCACCCACATTAAGAATGTATCCTTTCCCCAACACATACACACACACTGGGTCGTCCCTTTTTATGAATACAGTTATTTAGTGCATGGGGGCAGGTGAGACTGAGTTCAGGAAAATGGTAGAGAAAGTAAGAAGTCCAATAGAAACAGAGGGCCACCACGGCCAGTGACACATGTTCCCCTTGTGGTAGTGTTTTCCCTCCTCACACATGCTGTCTTGGTGATTTGGATTCACAGACTCATAGGCTAGGTCCCAGCAGGTATCACTAAGCCCTGCCACAGGCAAGATGCCCTCTGTCAGATAAAAAGGCTACCTTGCAGAAGGCTTTGGAAAATCGGGTACCTTCTCTAATTACGACCCCCCCACCACACACACACCAGAGCAAAAACAGAGTGCTTCTTTTCTTGGTTGCAAGGGCTGGGAACAGAATCAGTCCTGGTAAAAGTTCCAAGGAAAAAGTTGTGTCTCTAGAATGACCCACCCCAAGTCCTGCTGATTTTCTGACCCAGAACTACATCACTCTACTAGCTTTCTGTTTTCTAGAGCAAAAGATTCAAGTGGACTGCATCATGTGTGTCATTCCCCTGAAACAGGATGCTTGGGAGTGACTCCCTCCATCTGGCCTTCTAGGGAACCCAGGCCAGGTCTTCAAGAAGGGCAGGTCCCCTATGGAGACTCTTCAATCATGAAGTAAGTGCAGATAGCAGAACCCAGACTGTGTCTATCCTTGTCCAGAATCCTTGAGAAAAGCCCCTAGCTAATGACTGGCATAAGAGCTTTGTCTCCTACAGCTCCACATGACTAGCACTGAAAACAGAGGAAACACCATTACCAAGAAAAATTCAGTTGCCACAATAGGCTCAAAACTCTAAGGTGCAGGACCCAGGACACCTTTCCATAAAGAAAAGTCTTAACAACATCTTTAGCTAGGGGTGTCTCCACCCCTGCCAGTTAATGCTATTCTTCCTAGGAAGCAAATATCCATGGGCAGCCCTGGGAGCTCTCAAACAGGAGAAAAGAAAGAAGGTGATTTAAAATGCTGATCCCCTGCTCAGGGGCCTCTTTCTTCCTGCAGCAGAGTCTCATTCATCCCCTGGCATCTGCAAAGGCGGGGGCAGGGGGTTTACTAAAATATTCTAATCAGTTAAGAGCACAGAACTCCCCGCTGACAGCCATGTTTCACTGTCCTCAACATTGCCTTCCACCAGGCCCTTAAGAAGTCTCATTTATTCTCTCCCTCCATGTCTTCATTTGTCTTTGACCTAGTATAACATACATTTTTATACACCCTTGGGAAACCAGAGAAGGGAAGATTAAATTGAAATAGTAAAATGAAGATTTCTTTCATTCTCTCACTTTTTTTGTGTGTGGTACTGGGGTTTGAACTCAGGGTCTACACCTTGAGTCACTCCACCAACTCCCTCTTTTTTTAATGATGGGTTTTTTGAGGCAAGGTCTCTTGAACTCTTTGTCCCAGCTGGTTTCAAACCACAATCCTCCTGCTCTCTGCTTCCTGAGTAGCCAGGATTACAGGCGTGAGCTACCAGCACCCAGCCTCTCACTTCTTTCATGATCTTTATGAAGATTCTGCCATGTGCTGAGCACCTTTCCAGGCACTGGAGTGACCACAGCAAAATCCTTGCCTGAAAGGAGTTTATTTTCTAGTGGTCAAAAAAAATAAACATAAGAGAGATTGTGCTAAATGTCAAGGAGAAAA